ATTATACACACATAGATCTTTACTAGAAACTAATTTTCGTAGAACATAATTTTTAACTAATTCCCTTCCTCTAAAAGTTATACCCCCCCAAAACCCTAAAAATATCATTTTTCAACTATTTACTGTAGTACAACCATTTGCATTTTTTTAATTTTTCAACCGCAGAAATATATTGGCTGGCTTCCTCTATCGCGGCATACTGTACTTGAATTTTATAAAAACAAAATGGCCGCTAAAATGTACCGTTATCTTAAAGAAGTTTTTTTCAAATTTTTGATCACGTTTTTCTTCAACACTCTACGTTGTAAGAGTCTGAAATTTTTACACCTGTTAGGCACTAATAAATGCTTCATTTCGTTTGAAGAAAATTCTTTTCCATCTCCAACCCCTCTCAAGTTATCGCCTCTTGAAATTTGTAAAATTTGAGTTTTTGACACCTTATATTTGCGAAACCACAAGCTTTTTTAAATTTCTATAAATGCAAAAAGCTAACGGTAAATTTCATGACATTAAAAAATATAATTATTTTTCTTAACTCACACAACTAACCCTTAAAATCGAGCATTATGTTAACCCCACTTTATATTAATTTTTGCTTTATTTCAAAGACTGCATGTATGCATCATCCTAAATATATGCAATCCTAGAAATAGTTTTTTATATGAATGAAAATAATTTTAATAGCATGATAGGTATACACAGACTGTATTTAAAAGCAGAATTTTCACTTGCTGAAGGAAAAAGTGCTACAATACAAACCATTGGTTTGACTCAACTTTATTAAATTTAAATTTTAGTCTTACATTTTTAAAAATTTGCCAATTATTATTAAAAATTTTACTTCTGGATTTTTAATTACTTACTTTAAGTTATAAGTTCTTATATTTTCGTTTTGATTGTACTTTAAATGTCGTACTAACATTTTTATTGAATTCTCTAAATTGTAAAAACTTAATAGCAAAAAAACATGTGGAAGAGAGAATATTATTTTTGTGTTGCTTAGTCGAAGCTTTCAACTTGACTTTCCCTTCTAATCGTATATGTTTTATATTATTATAAAATAATATCTTTGAATTTATTTATATTTTAATCATAATCTCTTATTCGTACTGTAAACGTTCTGAAATATTTGATCATATCATATTTTTTTTTCTTTTTCCTATATCTTCTTTACTCTTAGGAAAAATCCGAATTATTAAAGTTTCACTGTCTATATTCAATTTGTTTGATTGAATCCCATTATAAAAATTCTACATTTCTATTTTTTTTCGCAAATAGATACAAATTTTTATTAATTCCCAAGATTTCTTATTTATTCATGTGGCGATGTGCAAAAAAAAAGAAATAAGAAAAATATTAATCTAAAGAGCTTTACAAACTTACTGCAAGATATATTTATAGTATATTGAAGATTATCAAGAAAACGTAAATATAAAAATTATTTTACATCATATTATTCATAATATTATTAAATTTAAAAAGGATGTTTTTATAATCTTATAAGGACATACAACGTATACAAACATATACACTTAAATAGTAACATATAATATTGTAAAATATTAATTTTTTTCCGTAATAGTAGGTTAAAATGATTTTCATGTCGACATCTTCATCCTGATGTTCATTTCAAGTGTTTTATATGTATGTGTATTGGAAAAAAAATCTAATACGAGTACTCGAATAATATACTTAAAAATTTATTTGTTTTATTGCATAATACTCGGTATGTTAAAAAAAATTTATATGAGAATAAGTAAAAAATTTGAAATTGAATTTAAAACACCTTTAAAGGTATTCTGTACCTTTAGTTTTGTTGAAGAATATTTTAAAAAATTCTGCAGATGTTTCTGAACATTTTAAAATTGTGTTTGTTCTTATAATATAAGAAATAAACTTTTTAATAACTTTAAGTAAATATAAAATGGCTGGAATGATGAAAAAAATTAATTTAATTTTTATTATTTTTACAATGTACAAAATTATACATATAGCAACACACAAAGAGCTTCCCATAAGGTGGCGAATGATTTCAAGGATAAATCATTGATCAATTTCCAACAAAAACTGTATGCATGAGGGGTTTCACATACACTTCTTTTAGAACTACAGACTGTTGAAAAAAAACTCAAACTACAGCATGAAAATAAATACTTATAACTAGGAATCATGGAACAAAGAAGTCCCATAGGTAGTTTGTTTTACGGGAGATTGATTGCTCTTTATTTTTGGTCTTACAATCAATTTGATTTGAGCCACAGTCTTCGAGATAAAGTCAAAATTTTTGTTTTTTTTTTAACTGTTTTTTAAAATTCGAAATTTCTCGAAAATTTGCGTTATTTTTACATTCACATTTATTTTCAACAGGCCGTGAGCTCGAAAACGGGTATATCCGCATCTCTAATCCCCAAACAATTTTTTTTCTGGAATTTGATTAAGGAATCATCCCTGAAATTATTTTCTACCTTATGCAAAACACCATGTATAAATTTTTGTATAGTTTTAAAAATATAATTTATAAAATAATATAAATAATATATAAATTTTTATATATAATTTTTTTATAGTTTTTTTTTTTGTTTATATAAATATTTTAATATGAAACGTTAAATTAAATCAAATAGTTTTTCGTTTCAACGCGCGCATTTTTTTAAAATGTTGACCCCATAGTATTTGAATTTATATTCTTAAATACAAATTCGTATTAAATGGTATTTTTATTCATAATAATTATGCTATTTGAAAAACAATACAAAATTTATTTTAATCGCAGACACGTTGTAATTGCGAATAACTAAAAAATATTTTTAGTTATCCGCATCTTTTTGAAACTTTCCATGTTCGTACAAAATTTATCTACTTTCACAATTTCTTCTTTTACTTTGTAATTTTTAGTAATATAATTTCAGATTCAATAAATGTCAACTCACTGACTCTGTTTTCGAACTGGAACAATAACTGTTAGTATTAAATCCGATTTTTCGCTAAATTACTTTTCGCCCTATAATTTGCATTATAGAACTAAAATAAATTAAATATCTTATGTACTTATGTACTCGTCTAATGACTTTCATTTTAATTAAATATTTTATTATATACCATAATATTATATTAAATAATATCAAGAATAATATTTTGAATAAATATTAACTTAATTCATTAATAATATTATTTACATTGATTTCTTTTTTTTTGTATTTTCCAATAAAATTTTAAAATTCATTCACAAAAATTTGCTTTTAATAAATTTATGCTTGCGTGTAAAACAATTCATAAATGGATACTGTTGTATAATATTATAATATAACATATTTGTATATGTTACTGACATGTATATACATATAATATATTGTGCAATATACATACGATATAATATTATGTTAACATGTCAGTAACAATAAGAATATTTGTAATTATATTGAACTGAAAACAGAGTTATTATTAATAACTTATTGTATCTTTTGTTCTATATACAAAATATTATTATATATATATACATACACATTTTTACCTATACATATTATGTAATGTATTTTTCAATTAAAGGTATTCTATTAAAACTTATTTTTCTCTCTTATTCTTCCTATCGAATAAAATATAACATTTTCAATAGTAATGTTGTACATAATCAGATTTCAAAACACGATTTCAATTAATTAACCTTAATAACATGTACATATTTAAAACACATAGGTATAGTAATAAAATTAAAATAATATATGAATTTTGATAACCTTTTTGAAATTATAAAAAAAAAAATATTATGAATTGACGACATTATAATATTTTAAAGTTTGTCGGTAATTTTTTCCTCATTATCTACGTTTGGTTATATTTGTATACATTTATTATTCTTAATTTCAACATATACTATTTTGTTGCACCATATTTATAAACAGTGTACACGGATTTATTCACTAGGATTTACTTTAATTACAGATTTTTTTTGAATTAAATTATTCGCAATTTGAACCGAAATACAACCTCTTTCTACACTAAAAAAAATGTTTATTCTAAGGTTTGATTGCATTAATTTGGTGAACATAGTCAACTTCTCATTCAATCAAATCAATTATAACTTTCTAAAACAAACCCTTTTCTTTAACTAAAATTTTAGTAATCTAGTGGAACTTTACGTTTTACTAGAAAGAATTATAATTTTTTTTGTTAATTATAATGACATTTATTTGAACAATTCATTTGATGGATTTGATGCACTAATTAATTCCATTCTATATATCATATCGTGTGTCTCCTTAAAAAGTTTTATATACATTCATTTAAATATAAGGATAAAGTTGCATTCTCGTTTCTAGATCGAAACGTTGTGAGTAGTCAAAATTCTGCAAATAGATTTTGTTTTTTTTTATCTGTTGAAATTTAACATATTTTAACTTACGCTGTCTTACTTGTACACAGTGCTAATACTTCTTCTTGTCTCAATGAGTGTTCTTACCTTATATAGATTGTTATAAAAAGATACAAGAGAAAAAGATGATTTTTTTGATTTTTAATTAAAGTTTTTGTGTTTTTTGAATTAAATGACAAATCCATATTTGCCTATTCTAAAAAAAAAATATTTTTTAAATCTCCATTAAAATTTCATAGACGAAATATGATTTTTAAAATTATTTTCTCATTTATTACGTCTTCAAATTGATTGGACACTTTGTATCTTGAACTTAGACAATAACAATACATTTTTAATAAAAAATTATTATTTTATATACGTATATATTTACATTTCTATTAACTACATTTAATATTGTAACAATTATTAGATATTTTAATAAAATAATAATCAAAATATGATTTTTTATAGAATATTATTAATTATTATTTTAATTCTATTCATACATATAGAATATTATTGGATTTCTGTATAGAACAATTGCATAAAATATATAAAAAATATATAAACATTGATTTATATAGGTATACTAATAACAAGAGTATAAAAGGTTTAACAATTCATAATTATTTTATCAGTCATCGAATAAAAATCATTTTAATAAGTAATTCAAATTTGTTTTAAGATAATAAACGATTTTATTTTTTAATAATTTTATAAAACAAAAAAAAAAACTAAATTATTTAAAAATATTTTAGGAAATAATTTTTTAACGAATTATATTTCATTGCTTAGTTTTTAATACGCAATGTTTCAAAAAGTAATAAAATTAATTTAAAAATTTATTTTCTTATATTACAAAAAATGGAGTATTAAATTAGAAAAATTTTTCTTTTCTCTATACATTGTAGATTTTAATTTTATTCGCTATTACTTCGGTTGTTTTAGTTGATTCAACACCAGTTTCAAGTCCATCACCACAACCAGAACCAAAACCATTACCAAAACTGGAACCAATTCCGGTAGCATCACCACAACCAGAACCTAAACCATTACCAAAACCGGAACCAATTCCGGTAGCATCACCACAACCAGAACCTAAACCATTACCAAAACCGGAACCAATTCCAGTAGCATCACCAGCATTTGCATATCCATTTGGTTATACTTATTCAACAGTATATGCAACATATCCCACATATCCTTTATATCCTGTTTATGCTTACTCATATTCATATCCAACTTATTACAGATATTTCTGACAATATTGCAAATTATAGTAGGATGGATAAAAAGTATAACAGCTACAGCTATACAATTATATTTTTATAAGAGAAAAAATTTTTTTTTTTTAGAATATAAACAAACTTTTTAGTTTAGTAATGAAAATTATTTTAGTTGAGTATAGTATTTAAATTATTATTTTGGTATAGTTTAAAAATTACTTTAGATACATATGTTTATATGTAATAAAGCGATCACTTATAAGAACATACCATTGAAAACTGTTATCTATAGAAGTACATAATATATACATAGGTATATACATATAAATAAAGTTATTCGAAAATAAGAAAAGAAATTATGTAATTAATATAAAATTTATATTTTAATACATAACGCTACATAAATTAATTATATTTTTTAATTTATAATATTGCTTTTAATTGGATATCTTTAGTTTTATTTAGTTATATTGTGGTTGTGTAGTTTATTGTGTAAAATTAAACAGCATCCTCGGGGCCTATAACAATTTAAAGTTACAAGCTCATCCAAGAGGTTACAAATACCTACATGAAATAAAAATTTTTCCTTTTTTGTGAAAAATCTACTTCACCAATATAATGCGCCTTACACTACACCAATATAATGATTCTTATTAGATTGGTACTGAAAAACGATAAATTCAATTACATATAAATTTTGCTCTCTTTGTACAGAGTCTCTTTGTACACGATATGTATTAAATATATTATATAATATGTATGTGTGTATAATAAACTACATGTTTATTAAGGGTAAAATTTTTACTTAACCGATTTTTACTTTAACTATGTATATAATCTGATAATAATACTATTATTTTATATACAAATTACACCCAAAATATTTTATTATATCTATTTGAATTTTATTTATGTTATATAAATAATAACAAATTCATATGTATAAAGTATAGTATGCCTTTTTATAAAATATTTTTCTTGTACCTATGTGACTTATCATAAAATAATATCTACTCTAAATTTGTATAGTAGCTGTTGGTATTTTTCTACTGAATCAAATTAATCAATAAAGAAAATGTGAAAATGGTTTACAATAAATCGAAGCATCGGTGGTTCAGTGGTAGAATGCTCGCCTGCCACGCGGGCGGCCCGGGTTCGATTCCCGGCCGATGCAACTTCAACTTTTTTTGGAAATTTCAAATCTTCTTTTTTTTTTTATTAAATAGCCACCAAAATGAATTTTTGTTTTTTCTATAATTTCAAATTGTTAAACATCATTTTTAAAAATTAAAACATAAATTATATTATAATTGTATTAGTAATTTATTATTGCCTACGTGTACTACTCTAAAGAATCTTAATTTGTTATATTAAGTAAGACTTATATTTTTGTGCGAGTATAAAAATGTATACAAAATATTACACGTATTACACGTATTTGTTATATTTCTTCATAGCTATAATTAATTGGTTCATGTCTATGCTTAACGAAACCAAGTATAACAACCTTTTTGTGGAAATTTGTGGAGAATATAAAATTTTTGTTTTTATATTGTACAATCTCATACACAAATAAAATATACATAGATGTATAATTTTATTAAATATATTACATTATGTATATTGTACTTTTTAATGAAAATAAATAATGAAAAATATAAACTAATGATAAAATATGAAAATATGAAAGTATTGTACATATTTCAAAATTTGTTATCACTAAATAGCAAGCTTGGTGTACCTACTCATCTCAATGAAAAAAGAATATGAGACCAAGATATCAGCTTTTGCATAGACATTTCAAAAATTGAAATTATCGAATTTGTTAAATACGAAAAAGCATGGAAAAGTCTTGTAAAACTTACAAGAGGAAGATTAAAAGATGTTTCGAAATTCATATCGACACATAATATTAGCAACCATATGAGCTCTAATAGAATATCTTTGAGCTTTTTCACTATAGCTATTTCTCTGCTTATTTTCTTTGGTTGCTCTCAAATTATTATTGTTTACAAATTGTGTATAATGTTTTTAAAATTCAGAAAAGAATTATTTTCTTTTGAAAAATGCTATATGTATACAAAATTTCTCATGATAACAAAAGAACTACATATATATTTTTCATTCATAAAAAAAATTAAACTACTCAAATGTACAACTACATTTATACTACGTTCTCTAATTGCAAACACATATTGATGAAGAATAGGTACACAAATTTTATTTTGATATACAAACAGAAACGTTGAATTTATGTATAGGTACGTTAATAATTCACATGAAAAAGGAAAACAGAAGTGCACAGGTTTCTTATTTCAGTTTATTTCTTCATTTTCATTTTTGCAACAGATATCATATGGCTGTGCCAAGAAAAGCAGCATGAAATTCGAACCCATATACCTATATATGTATGCATAGTTTATTATGTTATTTAATATGATATATTAATGTATGATATAGCGAAAATCATGTATGTGTTAGTTTTCTATTCTGAACTTGTATATTCAATATAGAATAAGTATAATTACTATAAGTAAAGAATTTCATTTAATTTTATTTATTTTATTTAAATAAACTTTTAACTTTTGTACTTATTAAAATCTAATCTCATTAAAATTCTCAGCTCATTAACAATAAGGTAAATATTAAATTTTAACATTTTGAAATTGAAAAAAAATTTGAAAACCTCTTTTAATGGTCATATTGCAAAGGTAGATAGTATAATCGGCTTTTCAAAATTCTCTCACTCTCTCTAATTGTCCAATCCAATTTAATGTTATTATGTCAAATGATATAAAATACTTTTAGTGTAGGTGTATAACATTTACGTACTTGTACTCATGTATGGTAAAATTATACACATACACAAAATCATCGTACTAACAAAAGTACCCTATCTAATTTACCTACAAATGTTTAAAACAATTTCATATCATTGTAGTTATAACAATCACAACAGAGCAATACTTTGTGTATTACGGTATTATCTACAATTACGGAGAGAGGAGAATATAAAGTACAAAAAGTATGTATGTATGTATATATATAAAAACAAATAAAAAACAATTAAATTAATAAAAGATAGCTTTAGAACTGTCAAAAGAGTGAAGCTTTTCTAAGAAAAATATTCTATTTTATTTTATTTTTTTTTATCTCCCGATACATTCTCTCTTTTTCTCTTATTTATTTTGTTATTTTCCTGCTCCATTTTAATAATAGTAATTGCTTAAGTGTAAACGCACCCATTATTATTACAGCAAAAATATTTAAAGAAAAATTCTTAAAAAATTATCTGTATTTAATTATTTTGGAAAAAAAAAAATTAAATATTTAGGGAAATACGCGTTAAAATTCTATTTTCTAGTTTTCCATAGTTTTGAGTTTATATTAATAGATTTTGTTTAAAAGTGTTTAATAATAGATAAAATTTGTTTGAACAGTTAATATTTCTTAAAAGCAATATGACAGTAAGCAATAATAATAACAAGAAAACAAAGCAAAAAAAAGACAACTAAAGCAAATATAGAGAGTGAGAGAAATTGAGGATGTAAAGAAAAAAGTGAAAAATGAAAAAAAAAATTCTTAAATGAAGAAACATAAAGTGTAATTTACAAATTGTGTAAGTGAATTAGAGAAACTCGTAAATCTCAAAAATAATTTATTATAGGCATTTGTTTTTCTTTTGAAAGTTTTGTTTGTCATAAATAAATTCAGAAATTTATTTTCTCTTAAAAATTGTGTTTTGCAGTAATAATATTTCTATAATAATAATTCTATTAATATTTTTTTCACAAAAATCATATTGTATTGTGCTGAAAAATTTCTAACACCCACAATATAAAATAAACAGAACAAGTATTCCCATATTTGGTTTACTATAACAAAAAATAACCATAAATTTTATTTAATTAGTCACAATATTATTGCAATCATAAAATTTTAAGAAAACGGTTTTTGTTTTTAGCAACACAATATCAACAAGACATTATAAAATAGGGTGCTTAAAATTATGATGATTTAATTTTTCGTTTGTAAATGATAAGTAAGAAGATATTGTGATGTGATTAATTGATAAAAGTAAATTTCTGATATAGAAATTAAAAATTCATTTTAAAATTAGAACTAATACTATTCCGAGTACATATTCTATAGAATATAAATTTTTATAATAAATACTCTATAAATTTGTTAATTTTAAAAATATATTATCACCATAAATGAAAATTTTGTAAATAATAAAATACCATTACAAAATTAATGTAAAAATAAAAGAATAAATATTACTTTAAGAATGGCAATCAAATTGAAAAAACAAACAAAATGAAAAGCAATCAAATTAAAATAAAAATATTGTGCATTTATTAATTAAACTAAATATTCATACATCTACTATTTAAATACAAAAATACTCCAATAATTCTAATAATCCTATATTTTAATTAAAATAAGAAACGATATGGATTTGAATAAATCAAATATTGATTGTATAACTGCAACAATATTTAATTATAATTTTTAAATATTTTTTAAATATAACAAAAACATCCCTAATGGAATTGTACTATTATAATATATACTTATTGAATAAACACACATTTTAATATATTATAAACTATTGAATTTATTTAAAATTAAAACTATACAATTTTTATACATAATATTTACAAATGCAATTTAACTAGTTCGAATAAAATATTCCAAAATTCTATTTAAGAATAAAATATTTTTTTTTGTAATACTTTAATTATTTTATATGAGATTAATTATGCAATTAAAAAAAATACTATACAAACACGGATATTATAATATAATTTCTATTTGAATTGATTAATGTGTATAATTATATTAAAAGTACATGCACGATAATAATTAATATTAAATAATTAATATTAAAATACCATAATTCAGTATTAATATTGTATTATATTAAATGTGGCATTTAGAACAAAAACTACCTAAAGGGCTATCAAAATTCTCCATTTTTTCCCATTCCGTTTAGATACATATATGTATACGAAATTAATACATATTTTATTTGAAGGAAATATACATATATATAGACAACTAAATAATCAAACTAATAGAAAAAGATAATATTACATTAAAAATAATATGAAAATATGCAAGATGAAATAGCAAAATAAATGAAAAATAAACAAAAACAACTAAATTACTAGTTCATTATAAAAAACAACACTAGATTACTAAAAAAAAACTACTAAAAATTTTATAAATTTTTCACTAAATAATATTTAATCACATTAAAAAAGACGTGTAAATACACACGCATTATTATTAACAAATTATATAAATATTGTAAAAATAAATTTTTAAATAAAACTCAATAAATAATAATAAAATAATCTTAA